ACTTCTTATAAGTAAGTCTTTAGTATTCCATTGCTACACTCCTGGCACAAGGTCAGACTTAGATGTACTATATCTGCGCGCTCCTCAAACAACCATTAAATAAATAAATAAATAAATGAATTAAAAGTGTTTATTGTAACAAAAAAACATTAGACACACAGTTTATGAATAGATACTAACATCTAAACAAGGCCGAGCCTGTACCTTAGATGTTAGTTAACCATTAGACCACCTAAATATTTGACTTGGAGCTGCGGAGGACTTACCGAGTTGCCGGGGCCCCGGCTCGAAGAGCAGGAGTAGGAACGGGGTGGTTTTCGGTCAGTAAGAGTTTGACACTCTTTCTCACCTCATCCGGGTGAGATGTGATTGAATAATGTGATCGGCGACGGCGACCTCTCGCGTCCGGCTCTGGTTCAGACCATGGTACGGAGCGAGGGGGACTGGGATGCCGTCTCCTCCTTTTGCGAAGCAGTTATGCTAGCTAAGGAGGAGGCGGAGCGCGTGAGGGAACGAACCTCCTCACGCCCCGGCCGTCGCGAGAGACACTCCGGGCGTCGGGGATCGCGAGACGATCTCCGGCCACCGTAAGCATGGGCCTGCGGACGGCGAGCACGGGTGACTCGCCGCCCGACCAGAACCAGGCCCGAGCGTACGGCGCGTCGCGTTCCGCGCGCGCCTCAAAGAGCCATCAGACCACTACGGATGGGGCCCAACAGGGCTAATGCCGATACGGAGCCGCGAAAGACTTAACGGGTTGCCGGGGCTCCGGCTCGAAATGCAGGAGTACGAACGGGGTGGTTTTTAGGCAGTAAGAGTCTGACACTCCCTCTCGCCTCACCCGGGCGGGAGAAGTCATTGGATGATTTTCCCCCCTCAAAAAAAAAGGTGAATGCTGAGTAGAATATATATTTGTCATCAACTCGACTTCCTCTGGGTGTCGTTAGTTTACTAAGGGATTACCCATTAGTTAACAGAGACAGCAGACTCAGCAGACTTCTCTGTCGAAGTCAAAGCATTTATTTTAATAAAACCATGATTTGGTACTTTTGAAACGTCAACAAATACAAAAATAAATAATCTATCCGTCAGTGAAGCTAGGTGCTCGTTCCAAAATGTAGATTCGAATGCAAAAGAACAAGAAACTCCATTCGTTACTCTTTTAAAAACAATGTAAAGACACCGCTTGACGCGTAGTACAAATTACAAAACTAAAACAAAGCAAAAAGGAAAAAAAAATATCTTATAGTCTATTGCGGTGCTCACTATGCCTAGTGACAATTTATAAGAATAGTGCTTCAATACAAGAAAAAAAAACCTCTTTGCTTCAACCTTTGTATAATCTGTTAAACCTTATCCTTTTAAACCGTGATCTTTAACTCGCTTGCCAAACATGAATATTGTAGTAAAAGTTTCTATTTTAGTGGACTCAGACGGTTGATGATGATAAAGAAAACACTTCTCAAAGAAAAGGAATTAAAGTTCAGCCTTGAAGGCTCACTACGTCATTACTTTCCCGCACATTGTACATAAACAAAGTAAGTTGGTTCCGGAAAGAAATATAAAATACGTGAATAGTGTTTTACATAAAACCGTGTTTTACAAATTTACTTAATTAATTTTGGTATTATATATTATATGTATAGCATATTTAAATTCGAAGTCGAATTTTTACAGGTACCTATTAAAATATTTATTGCCTCTTTAGTCGAGTGATCACAAGGGCTGGTTGTCATTGGTGACACGTAACCTCTGGCTCCGGCTTGACGTGCAGGAGAAGGAACGGGGTGGTTTTTAGTCAGTAAGAGTCTGACACTGACCTCCGCCTCACCCAGGCGGGAGCAGTCATTCGATGATTTTCCCCCCTTAAAAAAAAACCTCTGGTTCGAACCCCTTGTTTAGGTTTATTGTTGTCCTTTTCAGTTTTATGAAAATCAGATGTTCAAGTTTATTTTCTGCTCAGCTGTCGAATCTGGTTTGGATGTTTAAAAAGGATGGATGAATGCATATTTACGAAAGATGTATACAGAGCTGATATGAAAGGGAACGTCATAGTCAGAAGACGTTGTCTCGACGATATGTCGACCATATTGGGGACATAATTATTTTTAAACGTTGCCCCATATTAGAATTTACTTCTCTGTCTTGCGTTTACAAACATACAATATAGTACCAACCGTGCATAAATAATATGAAGAAGGATATAAGAAATACGATTAAAGAAGGGCCAAATTAAAAGTACCCTTAACCGACGAGTATGTCGCGGAGAACCTAACGGGTTACCGGGGCTCTAGCTCGACGTGCAGGAGAAGGAACGGGGTGTTTTATAATTAGTAAGACACTCCTTCCCGCCTCACCTAGGCGGGAGCAGTCATTCGCTGATTGCCCCCCCTTAAAACAAAAAAAAAGAAACCGACGAGTATGCGTGAAAAGACTGATGACTGTTCATGAAGCGAAAGAGGTATGTAAGAATCGTAGCAATACGCGTTTATAGTCTCTGCCTACCCCCATGGGATATAGGCGTGAAAGTTGATGGTGGAAAATCATCGGTTGAATTTTCCCGCGTAGGTGAGGCAGGAGGGAGTGTCAGACTCTTACTGGCTACACTGGCTTACACAACAACCATTCGAATAACCTTTGTAACCACTGTCTCACAATAAAGATCTTAGACTTTGACTTTGGCTAAAACCACCCCGTTCCTACTCCTGCTCTCCGAGCCGGAGGCCGGGCCTTTAATGTTGTCCGCGGCTCCGTATTGGCATCAGCCCTATGGGCCCCACCCGTGGTGGTTTGAGGGTTCTTTTCTCGATGGGCCTTACGCTCGGGTCTGTAATACAGACCCGAGCGTAAGGCGCATCGAGTTCCCCGCGCGCCTCAAAAGAACCCTCAAACCACCACGGGTGGGGCCCATAGGGCTGATGCCAATACGGAGCCGCGGACAACATTAAAGGCCCGGCCTCCGGCTCGGAGAGCAGGAGTAGGAACGGGGTGGTTTTAGCCAAAGTCAAATTCTAAGATCTTTATTGTGAGACAGTGGTTACAAAGGTTATTCGAATGGTTGTTGTGTAAGCCAGTGTAGCCAGTAAGAGTCTGACACTCCCTCCTGCCTCACCTACGCGGGAAAATTCAACCGATGATTTTCCACCATCAACTTTCACGCCTATATCCCATGGGGGTAGGCAGAGACTATAAACGCGTATTGCTACGATTCTGTATGTATGTGTGTATAGTACATCCTCACTATTCCTGCGAATGTGGAAAAGTATTCGTGTGTAAATCAAATATTTTTCTCTACCACGTAAAGTGAATTTATTATACCTAATACATCTTTGGGAACCAAACATCTTAAGTGTGGGAGAGCCATGCTTCGGCACGAATGGGCTGGCTTGACCGGAGTAATACCACGGCCTCACAGAAATCCGACGTGAAGCAACACTTGTGTTGTGTTTCGTCGTGTGAGTGAGGTTACCGGAGGCCCAATTACCCTTCCCTTCTCCAATCTCCTCAATTCCTGAATCCCCAATGATCAGGTGTCCATGGGCGACGCCGATTGCTTACCATCAGGTGATCCGTCTGCTCGTTTACACCATAAAAAAAATCTTATTAGTTACAAATTTAACTCTACAGTTCTAAATCTATAATTACCTCTATAGTACACATAGAACAAATAAGTACGCGCATACAAACATACTTAATATCAATAAAAGTTATATACACATGTACCATATAACGGACACAATTCCAGACTCCGTGCTACTACTGAGATTAAAAAAAAACCGTAATACTTTGGCCGAGCCGGGAATTGAACCCGAGACCCCTTGTCCGGCAATCGCACTTGCGACCACTCGGCCAATGAGGCAGTCTTTCACATCATTCACATTTATAATTTTAGTGTGATTTAAGAATATTATAGAGGACTGAATACATAACTAATAGATTAGTTCTTTTATAAACGACTTTAAAAAAAACCGACTGTGACTCTCTCTTCTTAGTTGTTAATTAATATAGGTATTAAACTGTCAAACACCAAGCGGTCACCGGTGACCGCAACCTATTGTTCTATAATTGTGTCTACAAAACCGGTACTCGACGAGTTAAAAACCTTATCCTAAATGTAATAAAAACTTTTCTAAAAATCACATCAAAATCGGTTTACCGTATCGCAAGATAATCACGCATAATACAAATCACTACATAGTATAAAACAAAGTCGCTATCCGCTGTCTGTCTGTCCCTATATATGCTTAGATCTTTGAAACTACGCAACGGATTTTGATGCGGTCTATTTTAATAGATAGAGTGATTCTTAAGGAAGGTTTATATGTATAATAGGTACATGCATATTGCACCCGTGCGAAACCGGGGCGGGTCGCTAGTAATGTAAATAAATCTTTATTGATGATAAAATGAGCGAAATACAAAATATTATCTTAATAATCGATGTAGACCTTATTCAGTTAGATGCCTGTATTAGGAAAGCCCTGTATCACAGGCAAAAAAATCATATTAGGTATATACACATATACAAGTCACACTGCGAACCTCCTTTTTTGAAGTCGGTAAAAAATAGACGTTCCATTACTCTTTGTGTAAAACTTTGTAGAAATACTATAAACATTTGCCTTACAGTTGCATATCTACAGTACTAGAATAACTAAGTACTACAGACTCTGCGCATACAGAAAATTACATCAATAAAGACATGCTTCGCCCCTCCATAGCAGCGCGAAACTTCAGTGTCTTTCCACGAGCGGAGGGGAACGGTCGCTCGCTCGCTATGTGTTAAAATAAATACATACATTAATAATCTCGGTCGATTAAAAGATATAGTAATATTTAAAAATGTTGGTCGTGTGGTATATTTTGGCTATTAGTGGGTATGTCAACGGATTTGCATTGCCCTTCGAAGGGCTTTATAAGTTGGATATTATTCATTATAATGATTTTCATGCTAGGTAAGTGATTTTTGTATATTTTTTGTAGTCTTAGTTGTATTTTAAGGTCGATTTTCGTCTGAATATTTGATGAGAAAGCGTTCTTTTGGAGGTTTCTTGGTGGTATTGGTTTTTCTTGTTTCCTTTTGGTAACAAAATGAAAATTCATGAAACTGATCTCATTTCTACGTTTTTCTTATTTCGTTTTAAGTGGAGATCATTGATTGTCTATGGCAATAATGCTTCGAATGCAGTTTTACGCGAAATGACCTAGAAATTAGTGAAATGTTAAAGGTCAAAGGTCAATGACATATGCGGACAACTGTAGCGCCAAAAGTCATTCGATTTTACATAATAATATAATACTTCCTTTTACTTATTTAGAGCAGTAGTAGAATGACAATATTTAGAGAAATGAATACTGGTATTTTTACATAACCCAGTTCTATTGTGTATAAAACTAAGTAACGATCTTCTATACAGATAAATATAATATCGTAATACTGAAATAATCGTTTGTTCCTTCATACAATCTACACATATAATAAAATCGTAGGGAAGTGAGAATTGTACCTACATCGAATATTTTTAAAAGATAAGATGCTTTGGGCTCAATCCGCAGTCGACACAGAATCCAAAAACATGGTTTTTTGAATTTTTGTCTGTTTGTCTGTATATAATATGTATGTCCGAGATGAACTGTCAGCCATTTTTGAACGTCCTTGTTTTTAACCTTATTTTGATATCGCAAGTCGGTGTTTTCTTGTGTTATCGAGTACTTTTCGGTTTTAAATTCTCAGTAATAGCATGAAGTTAGGAATTTTGGGCAGAGTATGGATAAAGGCATTTACTTTACTTAAACTAACATGAAAATACATAAAAGGAAAATTTCCCCAATCTAATACCTTGTTTGCTCAGTTTCCACAATCTCTATACTTACTAATTGGTATGATGACAGGGTATGAAAATTGAAAATCCAATTAGTCCGTAAGTTAGGTAATGAAAAAATATTAGACACGTATTTTTTATTTTGTCCTATAATAAAACAATACTTAGATAGAACGAATCAAAGTTTAGGAGGGGGGACTAAAACGTATAAACGTCATTTCTACGTATAAAATATACATAGAAGTGACGTCACGCGACATTTCAAATCAATTTATCGTTGGAAGTATTCGTTTCTATAGGACAATAAAAAATACGAGTCTAATGATTTAAAATAATCTACCAGACGGATATTAAAATAAAAATTAGGCATCTACCCTATTGCACGGTTGGTGCGGTGCTTGGGCAACCGGCTGCCGCGTAACCTGTCGTGGGTTCAATTCTCGTACGGAACAACTCTTTGTGTGATCCACAAATTGTTGTTTCCGGTCTGAATATCATGTGTATGTGAACTTGTATGATAGTTGTATGTTTGTAAATGCACCCACGGCAACGTTTTATTTAAAAAGAATATTTATCAAAGTCGTTATAGCCGTTTCTGAGAAAGTGTTTATGACTGTGTAAACATGAATACAAATATTGGTCGTGTAATAGAAGTGATTATTGTTAATGACTATTTTATAAAAGTAGTTGTGGTGTTTAAAGGAAACAGTAATTCAATTTTAATAACATAATTAACAGCCCACGTTGTGTATAATTAAATAATGATAATTAGGTACTACGTACTCTCGCGTGGTTTCATCTGCAGCTAGACTCCTATTGATCATACCATGATGTATTATAATAAATAGACTACATAACATAACATCACGCCTTTTTATCCCCGAAGGGGATAAAAAGGCAGAGGGAGTGGCAGACTCTTACTGACTAAAAACCACCCCGTTCCTTCTCCTGCACGTCGAGCCGGAGCCCCGGTTACCCGTTAGGTTCTCCGCGACTCCGAATCGGCATCGGCCCTATTGGGCCCCATCTGTGGTGGTCTGATGGCTCTTTGAGGCGCGCGCGGAACGCGACGCGCCGTACGCTCGGGTCTGTTTCTGGTCGGACGGGGAGCCACCCATGCTCGCCGTCCGCAGGCCCGCGCTTACGGTGGCCGGAGATCGTCCCGCGATCCCCGACGCCCGGTGTGTCCTTCGCGATGGCTGGGTTGCGAGGAGGCAGCGCTTCGCTGCCTCACGCGTCCCGCCTCCTCCTTAGCTAGCATGACTGCTTCGCAAAAGGAGGAGACGGCATCCCAATCCCCCTCGCTCCGCATCATGGCCTGCACTAGGCCCGGACGCGAGAGGTCGCCATCGCCGATCACTTCCCTGAGGACACGGCGGTGCTCAGCCCACGAAGGGCATTCTCCCACCGTGTGTTCCACCGTGTCCTCAGGGCGGTCCTCGCAGTGATGACACCCGGGCGTTTCCTCCCGCCCCATCAGACACAGGTACCTCCCGAAACTTCCATGTCCGGTGAGGACCTGCGTCAGGCGGTAGGTGAGGACGCCGTAGCGTCTCTCAAGCCACTCCTCAAAGAGGGGACTTACCGCTGCGATGGCAGCGAGCCCAGCCCTCGGTTGCGACAGTCGTTGCTGCCATTCCGCCATGAGATCGCGCCGGAGCTCATCCCGCCACGCACTTATCTGGCGCGGCAGCGGAGTTTCGCCCCGGCGACGTGCCTCCGCGCGCATGCTGTGCACGCGCGCGAGCACCTTCGCCTCCAGATCCCACGGCGGTAATCCGGCAAGGAGGTTCGCCGACTCCCCAGAGATCGTGCGGTATCCGCGGATCATTCGGATCGCCATGACCCTCTGTGCCATGAGCAGCGTCCGAGCGGGACGCCGCAACAGGTTAGGCGCCCAAACAGGGGCGCCGTAGAGGGCCATGGACCGCACGACCCCGGCGTATAACCTCCGGCAGGAGGCGTTTGGCCCCCCGAGGTTGGGGAGGATGCGTTTAAACGCAGCCCCCGTCCTCTCCAACTTTGGAGCCAAACGTCGGAAGTGTTCAATGAAGTTCCACCGACTGTCGAGGACGAGTCCTAGGTACTTCATCGTCGTCTCGACGCCGATGGTAACTCCTCCCGCCGTTATTTGGGACCCACCCGGAGGTGGCGCGTTCCCGCGGCCATGAAAACACATGGCCTCGGACTTGTGGAGCGCCACCTCGAGTCCCAACTGCCGGATTCTCTCAACGACTGTCGCAACCGCTGTCGCCATTAAGTCGGCCGCCGCCTGGTGTGACCTCCCGTGCGCTAGCACCAGCGTATCGTCGGCGTAGCATATTGTGCTAACGCCGTTCGGGAGGTCGGTGCGCAGCACCCAGGCAGAGGAGCACATAGAAGTAACACCCACTTTTCACTATTTATGTCACGAGTCGCATGTAATAGGGGGTGAGCCTATTGCCATATACCGGGCACATTTCCAGACTCCGTGCTACTACTGACATTTTTTTAAAAAACCCAGCAATACTTTGCCCGACCCGGGAATCGAACCCGAGACCCCTTGCCCGGCAGTCGCACTAGCGACCACTCGGCCAACGAGGCGGTCCGATAAATAGACTATCCGACAGAAAAATAATTATTGAATTCGAACCAACCGTTCTGGAGATTTGCGCACTGTAACTAACAAACTAAACTAGTCTAAGGTCTCGGCAAGAACTCGTACCTTAATAGTCTAGTAATAAGCCTAACTGTTGATCTCAAGGCTCTAGGTTCGATCAAGGTCATACTTAAAACCCTAATAAACCCTAATTGGACAAAGTATGTTAATAGTGGTCTCATAAAAGAATTTAGGTCAAAGTAAAAAGGTTTAACACGGTAATAATATTCATAAACTACCTTATTGATGTTTTTATAATAACTATCGTGAGACATGGTGAATTAACTCTTTGAGTACAGTCATTATAGACACAATTAAAGAACAAAAGGTTGCGGTCACCGGTGTCCTCGCGGTGTTTGACAGTTTAACTAAAAAACGCGAGTTACTCAAGTAAATATACTGAGTAGGTAAAGCTCTACTATTTTCGAGTCATAAAGGGACTCTTCCTCATGGGCAGCGTGCGCGGTTGCCGCATCAGACATCAGTTGGTTCCAATGACGTGTTTTTACTATGTTACCCGTAAACTTAATTATTACTTATGTTGTATATCCTAGGATCCTTGGCTGAGTGGTCGAAAGTACGACTGCCGGGCAAGGGGTCTCGGGTTCGATTCCCGGGTCGGGCAAAGTGCTACTGGGTTTAAAAAAAAACTCAGTAGTAGCACGGAGTTTAGAATTGTGCCCGGTATATGGCAGTAGGCTCACCCCCTATTACATGGGTCTCATTACATAAATAGTAAATAGTGGGTGTTACATTGTTACAATGTACACCTCTGCCTATCCCTTCGGGGATAAAAGGCGTGACGTTATGTATGTATGTGTGTTTAAAAATCCTTCAACCCGCTCTTTTTTGAAGTCGCTTAAAAACGATGTGTTGTATGCGGTCAAGATGTATAATCTAAAGATCACGATACGTTCTCATTGATAAGTAGTTAGTAGGTAGGCTATTGACGTTTCTACCATTATTCAAAGGCGTGAATTTCACCTAATACCATTAACAAATACACATTGTTGACTGTTTTGTCGATTAGAACATGCCAAACAACATTAAGCCTTAACTTCTTTAAAATAGAGCTGATCATGCCTTTGTACTATTGACATGTCATTCCCATCTTTAAAGATAAGATACTCGTTATCTATTGTTATCAATAACAACGTTAACGTAAGAAAATGTTTTGCTTAATATTTGTACGAATCATTGGCTGCATAATTTGTTATCTTATCCAGTACCTATGTCGCGGAGAACCTAACGGGTAACCGGTGCTCCGGCTCGACATGCAGAAGAAGGAACGGGGTGGTTTTTAGTCAGTAAGAGTCTGACACTCCCTCCCGCCTCACCCAGGCGGGAGCAGTCATTCGATGATTTTCCCCCCTTAAAAAAAAAATCCAGTACCTATACTAATATTTTGAAGGTAAATATTTAGAAGGGTTTTCTTTCTATTTGCATATGTAGAAGGATAGGGTAGTTTCCTAAATTTTATTTTTATGTCCGTCTG